AAGCCCAAGAATACTGGTGAGTGTAGCCTATCCCTTCTCCAGGGGATCTTCCCCAATCAGGGATGGGCTTCCCTGATAGCTCAGTTGGTAAAGTATCTGCCTGCAATGCAGGAGACTCTGGTTCAGGATCTTAAATGGTGCCAAATCATAGTGAAGATCATAGCTCTTGTAACTGATCATTGGACCTCATTGGAGATGCAGTTGTCCAGCTAACTAGGTCCACTAGACTCTGTTTTACCACTGTTTGTAGTCCGTGCTTGGTGTTAGTAATCTTTGAGAGGACTAGGGGGCCAAGTGTTCAATTTCTCTGGGTGTACCACTCATATACCCTCTTGTCTTGCCATGCTCTCTGTCTCACTAGAGCTTCTGAATCCTTCTGACCTCTTTCCAATACAGAGAAAACTTTTCCTCTTACCTTCTGCTGCCTCAGAAGGTACTCTGGCTCTCCCGTCTGGCTTCAGGCCTCACGGATGTACTTCTTCAGTGAGTGCAGACACTGCCAAGAGTCAGAAAGAACTGTAGAATCCATGCAAACTTGTGTTCTGTGGACTCTAAGATCTTAAAGGGTTGTCTGCCCTCTTGAAACTGTTGCGGTGTATATAGGGAAAACTACAAACCAAAGATTCAGAAAGTATTCTACTCCAGTGATGTACAGAGGTGTCCTCTTGGCTTCAGGGGGGCAGAGCTTTGGTGAGTACGCCAGGAAGATAAAAAGATTGTGTCTTTTTATCTGGATGAGTAGAGCACTCAGCATTATCTTCTTGATTTTTTCTTTTTCTTGCCATATGTAGATTAAAGAACCATTTTTCTATTTTCATCCAGCTGCTCTAATTTCAGTATAAGAGAAAAACACTTTGTCTGTCATTAACTCTAAAAAGCTATAATTATAATAGTTTATAATTTACACTTGTCAATAAATACTCCCATAACACTAGTGAATATTGCTTCTCTGGGCTGGTTATTGTATTTGGATTTTTTAGCAACATTCAGACTATGAGAAAGCTAAGTTTGTTTGTGCTGCTTAGGGGATGGGTGTTGGGAACCATTGGTTTTGTTGATTAAATTACCTAATCAGAAATTAATTACTGTAAGTTAAATTCATAGCTGTTTGGAATTTAGCAGCTAAATTTTAAGGATCGAAAAATGTTAAATTTTTTAATATAGAAAATTTCAAAAATATTTAAAAATACAGAGAAGAGAGTTGTCTAATTAAGACTCATATGGGGACTTGCCTGGTGATCCAGTGGGTCAAAGTCCGCCTTGCAATTCAGGAGATGCAGATTTGATCCTTGGTTGGTAAACTAAGATCCCACATGCCCTGAAAAATAAAAACACTCATATACTCACCAACCAGCTTACTTATTAATTCATGGCCAATCTTGTATTCTTTTTGTCCCATCATTTTCCTTCTCTCTCTCCCTCTTCCAGTTATTTTGAAGCCAATCTTCAGTTCAGTTCAGCTCAGTTCAGTTCAGTTCAGTCGCTCGGTCGCGTCTGACTCTTTGCGACCCCATGAATCGCAGCACACCAGACCTCCCTGTCCATCACCAACTCCTGGAGTCTACTCAAACCCATGTCCATCGAGTTGCATTGCAGGTGAATTCTTTACCAACTGGGCTATCAGGGAAGCCCAAATGTTTCAGTGGATATCTCTAAATGGTAAAGGACTTAAAAATCAATGTAATCACAAAGCTGTCATTGCTCTTAAAAGGCAAACATGATGAAAGAATGCTGCCTCTTTATTTTCATCATTTATTTTTTCTCCTTATTTAAAATTTAATATTAAACTTATGTCAACAGTATAAATCTTCATATAGTAACATATACTGGAGGATATCCTGGACATGTTGATAAGTGAAAGAGCAAATAATAGAGTAATTTTTATAACATGATTCAATTTCTACTTTAAAGGATTATAAATAACCACATCTATTTTTGTTTAAACATGTAAAAGCATAGACACATATAATACATCAAACCAAGAATAGTTGTTACCTTTAAAGTAAGATAATCATAGTTGGTATTAGAGATGGGTATAGGACTCTTAACCTATTCTTTAGTATTTTTTATTTATAAAATATATGTGTGTTACTTTTGAAATTAAGTTTTCAAAAAAGAATTCATGAAAGGAACAACTTAAATTATATCAGTATGAGAAACGAGAGACATTTTTAGATCAGGCTATTCTGTCCAGATAGTGTCCCTCAGTTGAATAATCCTTACTCTCGGGTTAATAAGAGTAGCAGTTAGCATGTATAGAGTGTTGGCTAGGTGCAGACACTTTGACAGTTGCTTTCAATCTGATTATTTGTTTCTTACCATAACCCTTTGAAGTGGGTATTCCCATTTCACTTATGAAGAAACGTGATCTAGAGCAGTTAAATAACTTGCCAGAGTTTGGAAGAGGCTGATCAGGCTTGGAAATTAGGTGCTGGGACTTCCCTGCCCATGAACTTGACTGATGATTCCACTTCCCTTGGATCTGAAGGTCTCACAGTTACAGAATGAGTTTCGTTATTTCAATTCATACTTGTTTGACTCTTGTTGCTGAGTATCTATGTTAGCTTTAATTACTTTGTTTTGCAATATTTTACCTTATTTTATTTTACTATAAACTTAATAGCTCAGGCAAGACCAAGTAGTAATTCCTCTCGTTTCCCCCCATTGTCTGCAGAATCTGGCCCGAAGTACTAAGGGGAGAAACAACCTAAAAAGAACATCATGCTTTTCTAATATGAGAAACATTTAAATGACAGGCAGAAGGTTCTTGTCAATAGCGGTTTTATGTGCAGTTATCCAGCTACCTAACTTTTCTTTCTTGCTGAAAATTCTTATAAAGCTCTTCTTAATTTATCTGTTCCATAAATGTTCAGTTCAGTTCAGTTCAGTTGCTCAGTCGTGTCTGACTCTTTGCGACACCATGAATCTCAGCATGCCAGGCCTCTCTCCATCACCAGCTCCAGGAGTTTACTTAAACTCATGTCCTTCGAGTCAGTGATGCCATCCAGCCATCTCATCCTCTGTCACCCCCTTCTCCTCCTGCCCCCAATCCCTCCCAGCATCAGGGTCTTTTCCAATGAGTAGGGCAGCGGAATTACGAGTATATGGGAATAGAAGTGCCCAGCACTTTTATTTGGGATACATTTTACATTATAGATGTAAACATGCTAAAACTATCTTTTTAAGAAAGTTGTTATGGATTAGTCCTTGAATACTGTAGCAGATTTATTTTTCACAACTTGACATTGGCATTCACAATGCTATGGGCTTTCTCAGAGTATATTTTTGTTGTTGTTCAGGAATAACAAATTAACTTATTATTTAACATAAAAAATGCAATAGGAAAGCAAAATAACCTGTATAACAAAATACCTACAAACACACATAGTAGGATACAAAAATTATTTATGTATTCTATATATTGTTATATCCTTTACCTCCTGGGGATAATTGAGATATTACTGAGTATCCAAAAGAAAACTGTCTCTAAACAAGAAAAACTGATCCTTACAAAAATTTGCTGAAATTATTCAATTAACTTTTTAAAAAGATGTATGTTTTGAAATTTTCTATCCTTTGCACTCCTTTTCTCTGTTCATCCTGTCAGGGAGCAGCAGGAGTTCCATAGATTTTAAGAAAATGCCCCGTCAGTCTCCCAGAACTTAGACCACTAGATGCCCTCTTTACACACAGTGAGAAAGTACAGCACGTACTTCACACACTGGAAGAAGACACTGGAAGAATCCAACCCTGGTTGCATTATTAAAATAAAATTTGAGCTTTAGTAATTTAGATTTAAAATTTTGCGCTTCAGATAAGCTGAATGGTCACTCTAATGGGTAGTTCACAGTGTTTGGAGAAATAATTTAACATTAATTCTTCTGCAAATGTATAGCTCTACTCTGTGTCTCTGTCTGTATACTCCAAAGAGGTTATTTTGAGGAATCATCTTATAAATACTTGTAATTATGTTTGTTTAGATGTTTTAAAATAATTCAATTCTAATTCCTTTGAAAGTGAAAGTTAGGAGGTCCAGATAGAAGGGGGCTTATTGCTCTGAAGGGTGAAGAGTTTTCCACTGACTAATGTCAGAAAATGTACATGCTTTGGAAGCTTTTAGGTAATTTAGAAACCATATTATAGAAAACCCAGTTATGTAACCTTTCCTCTAGGTAGGTCTCACACCCAGTGTCTGAGGAAATTCATGAGTTTAGGTCTGATAAGCTGCAACTGTATTCCTCCAAGGAGATGTATTTTTCCTGTGACTTATATACCATGATTGGCTTTTTAGTTATTTCTTCCTTTGTGTTATCTTCCAGTTGTTGCTAGAAAGTAAGTATCCAGACATGGGTGTTTGGTTTTGTGATAAATGCAACTTTAATATAAAGAGTTTGACAGAGGATGAGTCTGTAAGGTTACCGTTTTCATGATATTTTAAGTGTTAGAGCTAGAAATTTTCTTAAAGATCTCCGCTCAACTCTTTATTTAACTCATTAGGAGATGGTGGTCCCAACAAAGTTAAGCAACTAGTGGCAGTTCTAGGACTAGAGAGGTCATACTGACCTATGGATACGTGTTTTGCCTCTGAAGTTCTACAGCCTGCCCCTGCCACTTATTAGTTCTGTGACCTTGTGCCAGCTAGGTCATCTGTCTGTGCCTCACTTTCCACATCTTAAAAAGGGATAGTCATGGTACATAGTTTGTTGGGATATTTTGAAGATTAAATAAATGAATGTGAGTTAAATGCTTAACACAGTGCCTGGTACATAGTGAGTACTGAAGAAATGCTGTTAGAATTCATGTTTCTTCCCTCACAGTGGATTGCTTTATGGTTGTGGCACATTGTCGCTCCTGACATCACTTAAATATATTTGATATGGCATTAAAAATATTTCATCACTGTTATTTCTCATTAGAATTGATAAAATATTTTAGAAAAGAGCATATTTAACAAGTATCATAGCTATTCTTTTCCATGTGTGAGATGGCCATGTAATAAATGAACGGAAAGGAAAAAATTAAATGATGTATGTCTGAGTATATTCAGATTGTACTTTATATAATAAATTACTTTTTAATGCAGCCACAATTCCTAATTTACATCAAGAATTGTCCACTTCAGTGGCTCATTAGATAAATTGAGCCCAACTAACCAACACAAGCTTATTACAAATGCACATCTGGAATGTGAAACTATTACAGGAAACTCATTGAAAGAGGAATTTCCTGTAAAGGGAATCCTTGATTTTTCAATAAAAGAGGAAACATCTTTTCTGGGTTCATATAGATAATATGGATTTAGCCATGATCTGTTCCTCAGTTATAATCACTCACTGCCTTTCAAAGAGAGATTCATGTCCCTGCAGGTCTCTATGAGATACGCCTCTGGAGCAACAGTGGCTGACCTTGGATCTATGAGACTGTCCGCCAGTTAGACCGCTAGTGTCGGCTTTATGCATGGAGCCCTGTGTAGTGAGGTAGGGTCTATTTCTATTCTTATTAGATGTATGTAGCAGATACTTTAGGCTGCCTACTCCACTAACGTAAAGTACATCTCCTTGAAGGAACACAGTTTCTTGCTATTAGAATCCTATTTTTTCCTCAGATATTAGGCTTTAGGGGAAGTTGGAGTAATCCTCAACCTTACAGGGAGGTAAATCTTGAGTAGTCAAAACCAGACATTCTAATTCTCGTTATTACCCTTCCAGTAGTTGATTTAGACATGAGTTTGTGACATAGTTTTGACCAATGAGAGTTGAGACGAGTCTTTGGGAAGGAGGGTGCTTCTGGATAAAATTTATGCATAGAAGGAAACATTTCTGCCTCTTAATGTTGCCATCTTTATATAGTGCCTGGAATTGCAGAAACTGTCTTAGGACTTTGAGGAGGGGGAAAAGCCAGCATGATTTCATTGGCAGAGTAGACAGATAGAAAGGCCTGGTTCCTACTTGACGTTGTTGAGTTACCCAGTGAACTCACCCTGGAGCTACCCTACCTATGGACCTCTTGTTTTGTGATATGATAAAAGTCATTGTTGAAACCAATTTTACTCAGCCTTTTACTGTTTTCAGTGGAAGCATGCTAATTGATACAATGTAAAATCATGTAATTATAATTATGGTTTCTGTATATTTTTTGCTTGTAGCTGCCAGAATGAGCTGAGGTCTGAAAATTGCTCAGCAGGACCAAAGCAAACTCCTTTCATGGTTTCACTTGCCAATGACCACTGTCTTGATAACTGTAAGTATTTAAACTTGTACTAACCAGTTACATTTCTTTTTACTTGGAGTTAATGTTTTAGTTATAATCATGTAAATATTAAATTATAAAATTATTAACCCTCATAGGGTCCCATTTTGCTGCTATTTCATTTCCTTTTGGGTACCCCATCATTTTGGGGCCAACCTGAATGGGGGGTTACTTTTGTCAGTGTAAGGAATGCTGTAGATCTTTTGTTACATTAGCACAGCAATCTCTTTTGAATTGACATAGTGTTTTCCTACCAAAAATGCTTAATTTGGGTGTCTTAAAATTAACTTTCCTCCTTTTTTAAAAGTCATGAGCACAGAATAATGCAATAGCAGCTGTAGATTAATAAGACTGAACATATGTGAGAAAGGATTCATGTTGTGATAAGTGAAACAAAAAATTAACTTACATATATTTCAATATATTTAATTTTTCTTTTGGATGATTACTAGACATAGGCATTAATTGATTCATGTAAATTACCAGGGTTACAATTTATAGGAGACTTATAAAATAAATACATTTGGTTAATTGGAGAATGATCAAGTCTACAGGGAGATCTTAACACCTTTAAGAAATTCTCCTCAGTTAATTTCACTACTGAATAAGACACTGCATTTTGGCTACTGTCTCTTCACACACTCTTACTGTGTAGAGTTACTGACAGAGTATTATTCCCCTTCTATAATAGTAAAGGAGGAGTCACTTTTCATATGGCTTCATCAAGAGATTTGTTATTAGTTACCAGACCATGAATGTAGATGATGGAGGGTCTCAGTAAAGGGTGACAGTGTCCCTTTAGGTATTTCATCAGTCATCTAGGCAAAGCCAACTGTGAGTGAGGTGCACAGATGGGCCTCTTCAGAGAGGCTGGTAGGAAAGTGCCCAGCTGGGGCCCGGGCCCTTGGCATGGCTTCTTTTCTTGGTGTTAAATAGACTAATAGATGATGATCACTGTTCTTCATAATCAAAGAACAAAACCCCATCCCCTTTTCTGGTAGATAGGCTGCTGTATATTTAGAATGAGGAAAAGAAACATTTGCATAAAGCTTAAGAAATACCTGCTTAAAGCCTGTTAATTGAGAACACCTGCTTGCCAGCACTTTTTAGTAGGTACATCTGTAGAGAGAGACTGGGAAGAAGTTGTTCTTTCCTGTCCCATGCAAGGCAAAATGAAGGTGTAAAGGATGTCACTGTAGGTTTTTAATTTCTGTCCATAGACAATTCAAAACCTTTTTTAGGACTCTGTCTGCTTTCTGGGAAACCTTCCTCCAATTCAGTCCCTAAGGAAACCAGCCTTGGATAATTAAAATTCTTTCACTTTTAAGCAGAATTCAGGAAGTAGTATGAGTAATACTGAGATATTATTTGGTGTATCATTTGATAGGAATTGAAAATCATGTGAGTCTCAATCTTCTGGCCTCCTGAAATTTCCTCCCCATCTTGCTATAAAGAATTAAAGTGCAGTTTTTGCTGGAGATGAGAGGCATCTCAAATTTGGGAGAATATTAGGACAGGCCCTAAAAATTTTCTTTAATGGTGTCCACGAACCCCCAGCCTCATGTTGAGCTCCTTTGGGGGGTAAGAATGTGAATATTTGTTGGTGCCAAGGGGTTTGGGTAGCTGTTGTTCTGGACTCCATAAACTTGACTGCTTTTTAAGAATCTTACACAAAGTGAAATAAAAGTCTTTTTGAAAATCTTAGTATGTCTCATTTGTATTAAGGAGTGCCAAGAAAATGTGTGTGTGTGTGTGAGAGAGAGAGAGAGAGAGAGAGAAATCACAGGACAGAGCAGTGATTACTTGATTAGCCCCTACATCCTCTGGAGAAACTCCTTCAAGTGCTGAAAGCTTTCAAGTTCTGTGTTTCATTTCAGTGGTGTGGTTTAGTCACTAAGTTCTGTCTGACTTGTGACCCCATGGACTGTAGCCCACCAGGCGCCTGTGTCCATGGGATTTTCCAGGCAAGAATACTGGAGTGTGTTGCCATTTCCTTCCCCAGGGGATCTTCCTGACCCAGGAATCAAACCCACATCTCCTGCAGGTGGACTCCTGCATTGCAGGTGGATTCTTTACCGCCTGAGCCAGTAAGGGAGGTGAAATCCGAAGGCTTTTTGGGTCACATAAAGCCTTAAATAATTACATAACAGATTATATTCATTTTTATTCTTATGTATTTTGCAAATTTTTTGTCTGGTTTCTACCCTGTAATGTAAGCCCCCTTTATCAGCAGATCTTCTGTATTCTAATTCTTTTGTATTCTTGCATGTGACACACTCTGCAAACTGCGGGGATTCAGTAAATCCTGATAACTTGCAAGTTTTAACTGGTAGATAAGATAGTCCTCTAAAGGTTACAAAAAAACTTTGGCAATTAGCAGCAGGAGCAGTCTTAAGCTCTTTTCTTAAAGAATACATTTAGGGAAGGATGTGTAACCATTTCAGTTGTTTTGGTAGCATTCTTCCTATGATTTCCATTTCTTTAAGTAACAGACATAATTTAAGCACTTTAGCTATTGTCGTCATCTAATCTATTAAACACATAATTGTCCAGTATACATTTTCTTTTATTTATCCCTGTCAACTATACCATATTTCCTGTTTTGTTTTTTAGGATGTTTTCATTGTTAGTTCAAATGCCAGTTTTCCTGCCCAGTCAATATAGATGTCAAGTACAGGAGGGAGGCCAGGTCTTTGGCATATCAAGACTTCTTTGCCCTGGGCTCATTTAACCCACTATTTGCCATCTATCACTAGAGTGTGCACCTGACCAACGATTAGCATTTAATGGCAACAGTGAAGCCTGTAGTATCCGAGAGGTGCAGGTATCCAAGGCTGCTGCTGCAGGAAGAAGCAAACACAGCAAAATAGATACATCTGCCTTGGTTAATAAAGATCACAGACAGAAATACTTTTTACCCCCTGTGGACGTGCTGGGATTTTAGAGCTGATGCTATTAATCAATCTGTCCTAAAACAGAAATAGTTGCAAATATGTAATATACAGTGTCTGTGGGATAGAAATAAACCTTTAACTAAGCTTGTTTTTTTTTGAGAAGTTGGAAAATGTTGCCAGCCTGTTTTTTATGTAATTGAAAATGTTTAGAAGCTTTCCTGAAGAGTTGATTAATATATCAAAATCAAAAAAGGCAATTTTGAGTCTAATTTTGTTTGTTTACAGTGTAATACAGGATTCTTGCCTTTGAAATTCTTCCATGCAGGGTGAAAAATGACTGTCAGTGTGAAACAAAGTGGTCTGTTGAAAAGAACATTGTGTCTAATAGGAAACAGCTGATACCAGCCCAGTGAATGCTATCTGGTATTAAAAGATAGTATTGTAATTCCAAGATAGAGAGTCCAGATTTGACCAAGGGTTGGGGTGGGAGTTCTTTTGCTCCACCTACGTCTGGAGCAAGAATCCCAATGTGAAGAGTTGGTTGGAGGCTCTTTGGTCCAGGCTGGAGGAACCAGGATAGTTTGCAACTTTGATTAGCTGCACAGAATAGAGTATCCCCACAAAGGCAGAAGTGATGCCATGAGGAAAGGGTTGGTATTGCAGGAAGGGGGACCCCTTCCAGGGTCCAAGAGCATGCTCTTGTCTAACACTCGGAAATGAATTGTCTGAGGAGACACATGTGCTGACAAAGCAAGAGACTTTATTGGGAAAGGGAGCCTGGGCAGACAACAGGAGGGTACTGGCTCACAGTCTCAGGTTTTATGGTGATGGGATTAGTTTCTGGGTTGTCTCTGGTCAATCATTCTGACTCAGGGTCCTTCCTGGTGGTGCACGCCTTGCTAAGGCAAGATGGATTCCATTGAGGAGGATTCTGGAAGTATGATAGGACATATGGCATCTCCTTTTGATCTTTCCTGAATTCTTCTGGTGGGGATGGCTTGTTAGCTCTGGATTCCTTACCAGGACCTCCTGCTATAAAATAACTTACACTGGTGAATACTGTGTTGCCTGGCCTGGGTGAGTGGTTTCAGTCAGTGTTTCCCCTAACACTGGCATAGATTTTATAGGAGGGCCTGAACTTTTACTATATTCCAAGAAACTTTTCTGAGAGCTTCTTGATTTTCTAAATACAAATGAACTGAAGTACTTACTTATATTTTTGTTCTCAGTTTTTGGAAGAAGAGGCCATAGTTCAAGAAAACTTGCTGTACTAGGAAAAAAACAAGTGAACGCTAACCAAGAGCTTCTGCCTATCTGATTAAAAAATGAGTACTCTAGGAGTTTTTCCAGTAGTCATGTATGGATATGAAAGTTGGGCTGTAAAGAAAGCTGAGTGCTGAAGAGTTGATGCTTTTGAACTGTGGTGTTGGAGAAGACTCTTCAGAGTCCCTTGGACTGCAAGGAGATCCAACCAGTCCATCCTAAAGGAAATCAGTCATGAATATTCATTGGGAGGACTGATGCTGAAGCTGAAACTCCAATACTTTGGCTACCTGATGTGAAGAACTGACTCATTGGAAAAGACCCTGATGCTGGGAAAGATTGAAGGTGGGAGGTGAAGGGGATGACAGAGGTTGAGATGGTTGGATGACATCACTGACTTAATGGACATGAGTTTGAGTTAGCTCCGGGAGTTGGTGATGGACAGGGAAGCCTGGTGTGCTGCAGTCCATGGGGTTGCAAAGAGTCGGACACGACTGAGCAACTGAACTGAACTTCAGGAGAGGAGAATGCCTGCCCTAGAGTGGTTCTACAAATTCCTTTTCCTAGGAAAGTCCTCATTTCAAATATTTTCCCCATTGTTTCAATCATTGATATCTCCTAGAAACTCAGTATTTTGGTAGCCAATAGGACTATTTCTGCAGGACTGTCTTTGAAAGACAGAAGCAACACAATCTTCTTAGGACCATAGGTCTTGGTTTGGGGTTAAGAAAATAATGTCACTGTATGTAGAAGGAGGTAAATGAATGGTAATACAGAAAATCAACTAAATTTCATACCTCATTGGGCAGATACTAAAGTATCTGTGCCAGGTTGTCAGATGGCTTCTGCTTGAATATCTCCCCTGACAAAGTGAATAGCTCAGACGGCATCTAGTTATTAGTAAACTTGTTTGTGTCTTTAGTGAAACCTATTTCATCAGATCAACAGAGAATGTCCTCCTGTTTATTGTGATGGTCCTTTTCAGATAGGTAAACTGTTATTTTATCCTCGTAAGTCTCTTCTCTCCCAGCCAAGCTTCATCAAGCCCTTTCATCCTTCTGTTCATAACAAGATTTTCACCATTCTAGTGGCCTTAATACCCTACTTTGACTGTGGTTTTCCTAGTCTAACTTCTGCAGAATAGAACTGGGTTCCCCTCACTTTAAAAAATATCAAATAATACACTGTGATACCATTTTAGTTCCTTTGATGGCCACATCTTAATGTTGATTTGTATCGAGCTTGTGATCAATTGATGCCTCTTGGTCTGTTTCACATAAATGAGTACTTCCCCCACCCCTTCCTCCCTGTACCATGTGCCTGTGCCCTGGATTCTTAAAATTGCATATGGGACTTTACCTTTGTATGTTTTTTGAATTCTGACCTGCCATTCAAATATGTCAAACTCTTGTAAAATCTTGATTTTTTTCATCTAATACAGGCTTTCCTGTCAGCTACAAATTTAAGTAGTTTTTTTTCCCCATTTTTTGTAAGTGTTATCATATTATTGTAAAAAAGCATGTGCTTTGCAGTGAGACAATCTGGGTTTTTAATCCCAGCTTCCTGTACCTGCTATCTTATGTTGGCATGTTGAATTTCTCAAGCCCAGTTTTCTCATATTAAAATGAAGATGATGATAAATTCTACCTCTTAGGTTTGTGATGAGCATTTACAATAATGTAAGTACCTATTGCTGAGTAGGTGATGGTTTTGGTAATAATAATAAAAAATTACTTGTGACATAGACTTGGAACCAATTCTCTTATTTTCTCTCTCCTCATCTGAGTCAAATTTAATATTTTGGATAGGGCTAAGAACAAAGCCATATAGCTTCTAGAGACCATTCTGTAGCCTGACATCCATTAATTAATCAAATATTACTGAGAAATGAATATTTATTGAGCATGGCTGTGTTTTAGTACTATTTAGTGATTGGGATTATAGTGGTAAAAAAAAAAAAAAGGCAGTGAAATCCTTGCCCTCATGGAGCTGTCATTCAAAAGGGCAGGGCTACCATAAAACGTGGGGACCTCATTCACATAGAATTTGTTGATAGACATGTGTACATAAATACATACATACACACATACAGACACCTCATATATATGTAAGATACAGTGTCAGTGTATATAATACAATGTCAGATAATAGTAAGAGCTATAATGTATAATGTGTCCGACTTTGCAACCCCATGGACTAGACAGTCCATGAAATTCTCCTGGCCAGAATACTGGTGAGTAGCCTTTCCCTTCTCCAGGAGATCTTCCCAACCCAGGGATTGAACCCAGGTCTCCCACATTACAGGCGGATTCTTTACCAGCTGAGCCACAAAGAAAGCCCCATGTATGATGTGACATCAACTAGTTGTAAGAACTATGTAGAAAAATAAAACAAAGTACTCAGAATACAATAGAAGCAAACATTATCTTACATGATTGGAGAAAATCTGTATACATCATGGAATACACCTTTTTTCTCATGTTGAACGATTGGAATACTATTTTTCTAGCTCCATTGCCCTGGTGCCTTTTCTCATCTCTGTGATCCCTTAAAGATTACTGACAGTGACTCTTAGATTACATCTGCAAAGTCTCTCCATACTCTGGGATGTAATTTGTTTAGGCCTACAGCCTTGAACTCATTTAAAACAGCAAGATGGTCTCTTGCTATCACCTTACTTATCTCATACTTCAATTCCTTCTAAACTACATTTATTCAACCCTCCCGAGTTTAAAGATCATTCTCCTTGATAAAGAAGATGGAAATACAACAGAAGTTGAGATATATGACTTGCTCTTTGTTGTTGGTTAATGTTGTATCATGTGCCCCAAGCAGTAAGTGTGTTTTTTAGGTTCATCCTTTTTGCTTTGATTGTAGCTGATAAGGGTGTGTGTGTGTGTCTGAGTTTGTGGATGGAAGGTTTAAGCATATTTCACTACGGTGTAGTGAGGGCCTAACTCCTGTCATGTTCTTTCAGTTCAGTACTCCTGTACGAATTTTCTCTTGTTTTAGCATCAGTTATGAGTGAAGTCTCTGGAGCTACTCACTGTGTTAGTCACTCATTTGTGTCCAACTCTTTGTGACCCCCGTGGACTGTACTGTCCTTGGAATTCTCCAGGCAAGAATACTGCAGTGGGTTGCCTTTTCCTTCTCCAGGGGATCTTCCCAAATCAGGGATCAAACCCAAGTCTCCCACATTGCAGGCAGAACTACATTGTCCAAGGGCAAATCCTGGCTGTTCCATTTCCTATAACAGTGAGACCATGGGCAGGTTAGTTAACTTCTTTGAACCTGATTTGCCTCACCTGTACAATGGAGATAATGATGCTTGCCTCCTAGGACTTGGGAGTCAATGATTTAATACACATAGAGTGCTTAGGATTCTGTTAGTCACATAGTAAGTGCTTATCACAGCCAGCACCACTATCATCGTTTCTAATGCATTCCTGTCATCTTTCAAATGTATTTTAAAGAGACTGACCTCATCAGGGAGGTTTCTGGTCAGCCACAGTTTGTCTTGTGGTTAGGGACCCTTCAATCCAATTTTTGTATCTTGTGTTTCTGTGTATCCAGGACCAAACAGTTAGAATTGATGTAAATAATGAGTCAAAGACCATGAATCATCAAATTAAGATTAATTTAGTGTGCTCATGGCAGCATTAAAATAAATGGATGAATTCTTTATAAAGTCTGTCATTTGAATCTGGATTGAAATTTTTTAAAAAAGAATTTCTTCCTAATTAGGGAATCCAAGTAACCAGTACACTCACTTCCAAGCCTTCTGACTTAGTTTAAATGCTAAAGGAAAGCATGTCTTGGTTCCAGATGAAGCTAAACAAACCCACAATATCTCATGGGAATCCTCAAATATGGTTTCATAACAATATGAAAAGGTAAACTTGCAGTCACTCACTCATCCTGCGCTATCAGATCTTTGGACCATAAATAGGGACTTTGGTGGATGCTTTGACAGATTTGAATGGTTGCTCTAAGGAGAGACTCTCCATTCCCCTGCCTTTGTGTTTTTATGACAGATTTCCTTTGTCATAACAACCATCACATTCTTGGCATTTTCTGATAGGAGAAAGAACTAAACCTACCTAACTCACATCTTTCTTTCTTGGCGGTCTCCATTCTACAGGATACGGACACATGTTGCAAACATACAGAAGCAGCCCCTGCTTGGGTGGGTAGGGTTCTAAAGGGTTGTACAGTGGTGTATTGATGCCTGTGATTGGTGGGTAAATCTGCCTAATTGAGAAGTAATATTAGCAAGTCCATTTGTACCCAAACATCAAGCCAAATTCTCAAATCAGTTTTTATCAGCAATAATGATAATGCTGGTGTTTTGATCTCTATTTGTCTGTCTTCCTTGTCTTATTTCCTAATACAGTCTTGAGAACTTGATATTATTTATTGATCTGCTCATACCTCCAATGATGCACACAATAAGAGTGAAGACAAGCAATACTCTTTCCTTCCTTTCTTCAAATGTAGCCAAGATATGAACCAAGATTGTCTTTAAGTAGCTTGTGCAAAAATAACTGGGATTGACTCTTCCCTGGGAAGTGAAAGTTGCTCAGTCTTGTCCAACTCTTTGCGACCACACGGACTATACAGTCCTTGGAATTCTCCAGGCCAGAATACTGGAGTGGGTAGCCTTACCCTTTTCCAGGGGATCTTCCCAACCCAGGGATTGAACCCAGGTCTTTCACATTGCAGGCAGATTCTTTACCAGCTGAGCCACAAAGGAAGCCGAAGAATACTGGAGTGGGTAGCCTGTCCGTTGTCCAGCGGATCTTCCTGACCCGGGAATTGAACTTGGTGTCTCCTGCATTGCAGGCAGATTCTTTTATCAACTGAGCTATCAGGGAAGCCCCAATTCCCTGGGAAAACCTGCCCTTATTTCTACCTTTCATCAGGGTCAAACAGACAGACAAATAAGCCTAGAAGCCTGTGATGAAAAAGGAGCTATTGGTAGCACCTAGCCAGAGAGGAA